AGCTCACTTCTCTGGGTTCTTCCCAGCAATCTGCTCAGCTGGGCAGGTCTCCTGTCATTTTCAGCACCATCAGCTGTGTCACCATGATCTCCAGTTCTTAATCCTAACCTATGTGGCACCTCTTCATGGCCCCCCAGCAAGAGCCCTTTCACCCCTTTTCTTCCCGCATGGTGGTCTCATATTGTCCCCCATTGTCCTGTTCCCATCCCACAAGGCAGGGGCCTGACTTTTTGTTTACATTTCAGACTGGAATCTCCTCCGTGACTGACCCCATTTTCCATTCCTCCCACAATCAGCTACGACTGCTAGCATTCCCATATTTTCTGCCTTTCTTGGCTGCCATAGTTAGTTTGGGCAGGTGTGGCATATCCCATCTCTCAGCTCTCACGCAGGCTCTGTAATTGGCTGGGGGTTGGGGAGCTGCTTCCCAGCTACCTCTTGGGTCCAAGTTGTACCCACCTCCCTGGCTAGCCTGCCCTTATTGATATGCAAAATAACTCTCAATCCCTGTGCTACTGCTTTTCCAAGCCTTCAAGCTACACTTATGGGGAGCCCTGGGGTCTCTCAGCCTACACCCCCCGTTACACACCTACTATTTAATTCGAATTAGATATATTTGGCTTTTATGAAGTGCATGCTAAAAATGATATGTGATGCATTAGTGTTTCAAACAAATGACACCTAAGTGACTGAAAAATAATTTTTGCTCAATCCACAGTTGTCATGTCAGTCAGCCCACAATTCTTTTGGCTGGGCCTCTTCGAGCTCCACTTGGATGTGGACATACTTTGACAATTTCCCACCTGTAATCGTTGAGACCCAATTTCCTCAAACAATTTATTTTAGGGACAGTTATGGTCAGAGTAGATGGATCTGCACGGCTCTCAATTTTAGAAACTTTCTAAACACAAATAATTTCAAACCATATTCATTCCTAAGCTATCATTCCCAAGAATAGTACAGATTGTTGGAATATACCACTACTTAAAGTAAAAAAGTTTTGACTATTAGACCTTTCATAGTTTTAGCAGGTCTGTCTTGTAGTTCCTTCCCAGAGACCAAACATAGTTCTGCGAATAAAGGAAACAATATGTCTCGTACTATTTTCATTATCTGAAAGAAAAATTGATATTGGACCAAAGGTATCTTTATTAAATGTAATTGGTTAAAGGAGTGGAACAAACTCTGAGGAATTACAGACATTGAATAAAGATAAAAGATAATGTTTTTTTTTAAACTGAACCAAACAAAACGTCACATTTGCTTATCTATTCCAGCAATGAGATCTTTTTGTGAATTGTCAAACATCTATTTTTCATCTATCTCACATCTATTTTCTTTTTTTAAAATAATTTTATGAGTTTATTTGAACCAATCTGACCACATCTGCCAGAAAACAAAACCTCAAGGGATTGAGGAAATGCTCCAGAAAATGGCGGTTTGCACCTTATTTTATATGTTACAATCAAGAGAGGAGGTATAAATGGCTTACATGAAATCCACTGGTGACAGATCAGGGAGGCAAGAGAAAGCAAAGCAGAGAAACCTCTGAGATTGAAGAAAAAGTCAAATGACAGACACATACGTGTTTTACACAGGTGGGTACAGGACAGTCAACAATGGACAACTGCCACAAAAACACTATCAGGGAGGTCTCTGCTCTGGCACAGTGGCAGTGCCTGAGGGGTCTGGAAAACCGGAAGTTGCCTTAACATTCAAAGGTGCCTTACCATAGGCTCAAAAAGGCAAATAAGCAGGCACACTTAAAGACTGCTTTGTCAGGGAAGATTCTGGCCCAGGATATGACTACCTGCCCAAACTGCTTCTGGTTTAAAAGTTTTAATTTCAGACCATCCTGTGTAGTTACTTTAGTTCTCTGAGTTTGCAAGGCTGGCACCCAGGCCTCCCCTGTGCTTGTCAGGTTTAGTTTGTGGCGTCTTTTTGTCTACACGTCCCCCTTTTGCTCATAAATGAATCCATGTTAATAATTGCTGAAGGTGTGTAAGATAACTTTTGTATTATCAATAATACTCTTTTCATGGTTTCACTTTTAAAATTTAGAAAAAATACTGTTACAAAAGGAAGGAAGGGGATGGGTATATTTTTAAGAGAAGTTAAGGAAGTAGTTTTGATGTGGGAAGCTTTGGAAAACCTTTGTTCACCCAAAACCCCAGCCGCTCTGGGAGAGTGATAAGGCCATCTGGGAAAAGCAAACAGCAGGACAGTCACAAGGACTGGGGCTAGCACCCCCGCCGATAGAACTAACTTTCACATTTAGCCTTTGTACTCTGCTTCTGCCCCGTAGATAGAACTAATTACCACATTCCGCTTCTGTATCTCGCTTTGCTACATAGACAGGAAGACCCATAGGCTATATAAACCCCAAGAATCCTTTGTTCGGGGCTCAGAATTTGGAGACTGACTCCTCTGGGCCCGCGCACATTAATAAACCTCGTACTTCAGAATCCCTCGGTGTCTGGTTGCTTCGTTTTCCTATAACAGTTTGTCCTAAAAACTTGGTTACTTCTAAACGAGTTAAAAAAAATTAAGAACAAGGGAAGTTGCAGAAAGTTAGTGGAGAAGGAATGTGACATAAGGGACTTTATGTATGAACACTAGAACCCAATTATGGGAATATGCTTCCTCCTTAACCCAACAGTGACAACTAACTATGTTAATTCAGATGGAGGCCTAAATGACTGTAAACACAGGGTCCTCTATAACTGCTGTGGAGACACAGGAAATTTACTTATAAAATTCTTACCATCCCCCCAGCCTCTGAAGTTTTTTTAATGGAAATCGTAATTTAAAGTGTTTTGTTCTTACAGCCTTGGCCCTGACAAAAACCTAGGGTTACAGCTTCCAGTTGCACAACCAGCAGAAATCAGATTAATAACAGCACCTGAGTAGATAGACTCATAGTAAATAGGAAGTCATCTTATGGTCAGATTATAAAAACTGAAAATGGGCATGGTGTACCCTCAAACTGTATGCGCATTTTACTAAATGCAAAATGCAGAAAAGTGAGGCTGGCAACAAAACCTGGGTTGTGATGGCTCTTAGGTTGGAAATGATCTGGAGTGTTTTTTCTTAATGGCCCATAAGACCTGACTGCCTCCCATTTGTCTGCCTTTCACTTTGGAAAAAAAATTCAGCCTGGGCTTCCATCCAAGGTTACACTCTTGCCCCATCCCCAGTGGGGTCGTGCAGCAAGATAAACACTGACACTGAGACTTCCTAGGAATGAGCCTTCCTAGCTCTATGGGACTTTGGTATCATATCTAGTTTCTAACCTTATTTTATTTGGTACCTTGAAGGAACTGCAGAGTCTGCAGCAATGAGCACAGAAGCTGAAGTTTCTAGCATCAGCAGGGCCACTTTATCTGTATCATCCTCAATAAGTCATTTAGCTTCTAAATCTTGGTTTCTCCATTTCTAAAATATTGACCCTCTCAACCTCACAGCATTTTGCGTATGTAGAGGACAGAAGTGAAATATGTATGTGAATGTTAATTTCATAGCTCTGTACAAAAAAAATCCTGATGGCTACCTTAACTAAAAGCTACTAAAACTAGTATGTTATTCTAAGACTAGCAAGTATGAGAGAAGGAAAGACTTGGGATGCACAAAGGATTGTATAGATAATTAGGATGCTGGTTTAATCTGGCTGTCAGGGTGACTATAATGATCTTGGATACATTTGATTATTGTTCTTTTTACTTGGAAGGAAAATAAATTATTTTATGAGTCTAGATTGCATTTAACACCTCAACAATAAAAATGAGGAATTTCACATAAAGCGTTGATTTACTTGTGACTTGTGCTATAGCAAATCTGACCAAGTCACTAAATTTGATGGCAAAAGAAATATAAGCATCCAACATTGGGTTATTCCAAGTGAAAACAACCATGCTATTTCCAGAAACATTTGAAAAGCAATTTGTGTCGGGAGGAAATAATAGCAAAGGCAAAAATGAACAAATGACAACCCAGTCATCAATGGATGCCCTGTGGAGTCACCGAAGCTAAAAGCGGTATTTCCATCTGTGATTTCAGGGTCATAATTCTTTCCTCTGACTGCATGCAAATTAAGGAAGAGTTGGTTTGATGTGACCATATAGGAATTTATGAGTTAGAATAAATAAATAAAAATGCTAACTAGAAGACTAAATAATTACTTCTATTTGCTGTCTAATCGTCTACTCTTAAAGTTATATCAAAGCCATAAATAATGAAATCTGAATAATAGCAATGTATGCCTAACAACTGGAAGTTCAAAATAAAATCAGCATTCCAGCCCTGACAGATGTGGTTCAGTTGGTTGAACACCATCACACAAAGTGAAAGGTTGCTGGTTGGATTCTTTTATTTTTAAATATATTTTATTGATTATGCCATTACAGTTGTTCTATTCCCCTCCACCCTGAACACCCCTCCCCCACCATCCCCCACTTTAGTTTATGACCACCTGTCTCAAGTTCTTTAGATTCTATATTTCCCATACTATTCTTGCCCTCCCCCTATCTATTTTCTACCTACCCTCTATGCTACTTATTTTCTGTACCTTCTCCCCCCTTCTCCTTCTCCCACTCCCCTGTTGCTAACCCTCCATGTGATCTTCATTTCTATGGTTCCATTCCTGATCTAGCTGTCCTCTTAGTTTGCTTTTGTTTTAGGTGTGGTTCTTAATAACTGTGAGTTTGCTGTCCTTTCACTGTTCATATTTTTTATCTTCTTTTTCTTAGATAAGTCCCTTTAACTTTTCATATCATAAGGGCTTGATGATGATGAACTCCTTGAATTTGACCTTATCTGAGAAGCACTTTATCTGTCCTTCCATTCTAAATGAAAGTGTTGCTGAATAGAGCAATCTTAGATGTAGGTCCTTGCATTTCATGACTTGGGATACTTCTTTCCAGCCCCTTCTTGCCTGTAAGGTCTCTTTTGAGAAATCCACTGACAATCTGATGGGAACTCCCTTGTAGGTGACTGTCCCCTTAGCTCTTGCTGCTTCTAGAATTCTCTCCTTCATTTTAATCTTGGCTAATATAATTATGATGGGCCTTGGTGTGTTCCTTCTTGGGTCCATCTTCTTTGGGACTCTCTGAGCTTCCTGGACTTCCTGGAAGTCTATTTCCTTTGCCAGATTGGGGAAGTTCTCCTTTATTATTTGTTCAAATAAGTGTTCCACTTGTTCCTCTTTGTCTTCTCCTTCTGGAACCCTTATAATTCAGATGTTGGAACATTTAAAGATGTCCTGAAGGTTCCTAAGCCTCTCCTCAATTTTTTGAATTCTTGTTTCTTCATTCTTTTCTGTTTGGTCATTTTTTTCTTTCTTCTGGTCCACTCCCTTGATGTGAGTTCCACTTTCCTTTCCATTACTATTGGTTTTCTGTGCATTTCTTTTCATTTCAATTAGTTTAGCCTTCATATGTTCCTCTAATTTGTGACTAAAATCAACCAGTCTGTGAGCGTCCTGATCACCAGTGTTTTGAACTGTGCATCTGAAAGTTGGCTATTTCTTCGTTGCTTAGAGTTATGGGCTCTGGGGCTTTGAGCTGTCCTTAAGTCATAATGTTTTGCTCTGTTTGCGCCTGTTACATATGAGGAGCAGAGCCTTAGTTGTTCATCAGGGCAGAGCACCCAGGTCGCTGGGTTGTGACGCTGTATGTGGGGGCAGGGTCAGAGAGGGACAATAGCAGTCCCCTCTGCTGCTTCCTGCCACTGGGGCCTGTGCGGTTTGTCTCACTGCTCGCTCCTTCACTGGTTTATCTGCGCATGAATGTGTGACCACAGTCAGCCCTCAGTGGGTCCGCCCATTGTTACTCCACACCTGGGATCCGCCCATGGCTGCCTGTGCACCTGGGTCACGTGCCTGGGTCAGTCCAGTGAATCTTTCCTGCCTGAACCTGCTCTGCTGCTGGCTCTGCTGCTCTTACTGGTCTGGCTGAAGGGTTCGTTGTTGTCAGACTTTCGTATAGTTCAATTTTCTGTGGTTTGGCTGCATTTTTGTTGCTAAAACTTTGTTATGTTTAAACTTCATTGTGTGAGAAGGCACACTGTTTCCACCTAAGCCTCCATCTTGGTGGAAGTGTACCTCTGGATTCTTGTTAGATTCCCAGTCACAGTACATGCGTGGGTTGCAGGTTCTGTCCCCAGTCTTGGTGTGTTCAAGAGGCAACTGATCAATGTTTCTCTCTCACATTGAAGTTTCTCCCCCTCTTTCTCTCTCCTTTCACTTCTCTCTAAAAATAAATAAGCAAAATCTCTTTTAAAAATCAGCATTCCATGTAAAGATTTTTAAGATAAATTATCAAATATATTTCATACCATGGACCTTATGCTATTAAAGAATATCATAATCTCCCCCTTGTCAGCAGATACTAAAATAATTTCATCTTCCAGAGATTACTAAGACATTGTTAGGTATGTCTGGAAAGTTTTGTCTTTGAGGGATAGAGAATTGTTTGGGACTAGAAAATAATTTATCTCCTCATTAATTTCAAACATTTTACAATTTGCTTTCTATCAAATACAGATATACTGAAGTCCTTTCCCTTTGAAAAAATATGAAACAAATTTTGGCAAACATTTTTTAAAATGGAATGTTAAAATCATCTTGCTGTTGGACATGAATTGAGCCTAACAAACCATCGTGACTGATCTTAGCCATTTTACTGTACTTATTACTCTTGAAGGATGATGGCAGTTTCCTTTCTAAAACCTTACCAGGATCTACCTAATATTTAATTATGTACTTAGTCTACTGGGGATGACTTAATCATAGTTACAATCTGCTATATCTATTTTTTTCTAACAACTAATCTCTTTGCTCCAGTATTGTGAGAAAAGTTTTTCTCTACCATCCCAAACTTCCCACCTTCCACCGTGACTAAATTATAATCTCTTGAGAGCAGGACTGTGTCTGTTTTGTTCATGACAACATCCTCCAATCCCACACACATACAGCGGGGGTCTGACCTTTTGGCATCTCTGGGCCACAATAGAGGAAGACTTGTCTTGGGCTACACATTAAATACACAAACAGTAATGAAAACTGATGAGCAAAAAAAGGATTTTAAGTAAATTTACGATTTTGTGTTGGGCCGCATTCATAGCCATCCTGGGCTATATGCAGCCTGCGGGCCATGGTTTGGACACACAATCTGTGCTTGTGGAGTGAGTGACACAGGAGCCTCTTTACAATGCACCGTGAAGGCAAAAGTGGAAGGGATCAGTTAAGGAGAAATTCAGCATCTGTACCAACAGTCCAAAGAGAGCAATACCATTTCAGCTCAGCTTGGAAAAATCTCCTCCATGTTGATTATATACCCATCAGTGTGAGACTTTTATGAATTCTTGAGACAATAACAACAGTCTAAAGTGTTCTATTCATGAGAAAATGAAACTAAGAGGCAAGGAAATCATCATTTGAGTTAGGGCAGTTGGTATAGTGGTTAAGAGACACTGAAGCGAGACAATCTGGGCTCAAATGTTTGGCCTGACATTTGCTAGCTGCCTGACATTGGGGAAATTGCTTAATTTCTATGTGCTCCAGTTTCATCACTGGAGCAACATACCTCAGTTGGGGAAACATACCTCATAGTGAGTAGTGAGGATAAATGACAATTCCTGAATCATGAAAAGTACTGTGTAGGCATTCACTGTTTGCTCCAAAGCCAGCCAGCAGGCCTGGAGTACTAGATGAGCAGAGATTATTGCCATGCTCTACCATTAACTAGCTGCAAGTGCTAGTTTGACCATCTCAAGGTCTCTGTCCTCTCATCTGTACAATGAGGGTATAGGCCACATAAAAGCACTTCTGCATTTCAAATCTGATAACAATTTACCTGTCCCTCCTTTTCTTCCCTTCTCAAATGAAAATGTACAGGCTGTTACAATGATCAAATTGAATGATGAATGTGCAAGGATCACACAAATGCAAAGCAAATGTAATGTTGCTTTTTAGTGTCAACACAGCATATGTTCAGTACTATATACACAATGAAATCATGTTAATAGTAATTTCCAAAACTGGTAAGTCCCAGTTGCTCTGCAAGAGGGGTCATAAAAGAAAACAAGGCAACCGCAAAATCACTGTAATAAAACGGTTTGCCTACTCACCATCAGTTTCCTCTTCTTTCTCCTCTCCTCTCTTTACCCATCTTTCTTTTCAAACTTTTCTTCTGTTCTCACACAAGGAATCATGGATTTCTAGAACTATAAGCGTCCTTCTTATTCTTGATATCCTCATAATCAAATACATTTTATTTGTAATTGTTTGTTCACTTTTCTATTAAAAATATGCTTGGCCTACTGATATATTTACCGCCAATGGGTAAGTTTAGCCAAGGGCTATTTAGTGGCCTGGTCAATTCTGTCATGAATATGGAAATGCTAGAGATGCACACAGAGCACATGGCTTTTGGCAAAAGTATAAAGTTAATCTTCTGAGGTTGATGTATTGGTTATGTGGTCTCCCCTGCCTGCATATCACTGAGTGAAATTATAGAGCAGAATTTATAAAACTGTAATATATATATTTACTTTAACAATAGCAGGCTCTATAAAATATATGGTCATAGCCCTTCAGAACTAGACAGGATCTCAGAGTTTATCCAGTCCGAATGTAATTTTAGAATAAACGATATGACAAGAAGAGCACCTCGTCTCTGTGGTAGTCCTTCCCCAGTCCCACAGCCCCAGTGTAATCAGGAGAAAAACATCAGACACACCCAGACGGGGAAAACATTCTGCAGGACACCCAGCCCGTACTCCTCAAGTTTACCAGTCCTGAAAAACCAAGGGAAGACTGAGAGGCTGGCACAGAACAGAAGAGACTGGGAGACTTGACAGCTAACTGCAATATGCATCCCTGAATTGGATCCCGGAGCAGAAAAAAAACATTAATGGAAAAACTGATGAAATTCAAAAAATTCTGGAGTTTAGCTAATAGTAATGCACAATGTCAGCTTTTTAGTTTGGATAAAGGTGCCACAGAAATGCAAGGTGTTAACAATGGGGAAACTCAGTGGAGGGGTGCACAGGAGCACAGAGTACTATTTTTGCAACTTTTCCATAAATCTAAAATTATTCCAAAATTAACAGTTTATTTTAAAAAATAGTTAGGATCATCTAATGTAAATAGTTACTCTGCTCTAGTGCTAGCTTACAGTATATGGACTCCTCAGAGGTCAAACTAACATATTTAGTCAATATAGATCTCTCTGGAATGGAAAATTTGAAACGTATAGCTCCTTTGAATAAGAAACACAAGTATACTATGTGTTGTACTTTTTTAAAGAATTTATTTCTTACTTGCACATTTCTCCTTGAGTATTCAATGATTCTAAACACTATTTTGCAAACAGTAGAATAGAATTTTACAAATAATGTTTTTTAAATCTTCACCTGAGGGAATTTTTTATTGCTTTTAGAAAGAGGAAAGTAAATATACAGAGAGAGAGAGAGAGAGAGAGAGAGAGAGAGAGAAGGGGAGGGGAGCTAGAGAAACACTGATGTGAGAGAGAAATACCAATTGGTTGCCTCCCATACCTGGGAGAAATAACGATTGGTTGCAGGCCCCAACCTGGAACCTAGGTATGCACCTTGACCAGGAATTGAGCTCACAACCTTTCAGTTTACAGGTCAAGGCTCCAACCAACTAAACCACACCAGTCATGGCTAAAAGTAACTTTTTCAAATTAACTATATTATGGGCACACCTTGGAGATATTGCAGGTTCAATTTCAGGCCACCACAATAAAGTGAGTATAGCAATAAAACTAGTCAGAGGCTGGAGGGTCTTGCCTGCAATTTGTAAAAAAAACGCAACATCTGTGAAGTACAATTAGGCAAAGCACAATAAAACAAGATATGCCTATATAGAATTTTCCAAAGAGATCTGCTTAGAAATATAAATAGGTTTACTCTGATACCGAGACATATAATGAGAAGCCGATAACATAATTCGTCTGATTATTCTTTTTCCAATTACTTAAGTGGTTTAAATATTAGCTCTGAAAAGATTTATGTGTCATTACGAATTTCTTAGAACTCAAGTTGCTTCTTTTTTAACTGGATAAGACCATAAATTCTGTTAATAACAACAGATAACAGAAGTATGGAAAAATTTATTAGCTTGTTCCCTAATCATAGTCATGTAATACTTAGGGTCATCTGTTACTGTTATTATCCTACAGCTTAAATAAATTAATTGGCTTAAATTTATGCTTAACTTATTCATCCCAAAGGAAAACTGAAACTTAGAACCCGCTTGCTGGTTTGTTACACAGACAAATATGTTTGATTCCCAAACTAATTATGAGGAAAGAATAAGTATTGTAATTACTCACTTTGCCCTCATCTAGTCTCATTTTTAAAGCATGGACGAAGATAAGGAGTGGCTAATTTTGAGACAGAACTTTGGGCTGACCATGGAAAGATGAAGGATTTCTATAAAGATATCATCTTGGATGAAATAAAGAATTCTGCTGAGCCCTGAGTGGTGTAGCTCAGTGGATTAAGTGTGGGCTGCAAGCCAAAAGGTCACTGCTTTGATTCCCAGTCAGGGCACATGCCTAGCCAGGTCCCCAGTGGGGGCTGTGTGAGAGGCAACCACACATTGATGTTTCTCTTCCTCTCTTACTCCCTCCCTTCCTTTCTCTCTAAAATTAAATAAATAAAATCTTTAAAAAAAGAATCTTGAGGGAAAAATAATTCTGCTGAGATATTTTTATTCATTTAATGTTGATCCCATTTTTCAGAATGAATGTCACCTTCTTAGGCCAGCATTTAAGCATTTGAGTCTGAATAAGGAAGTCAGCAGCTGATTATGTATCAGAAATTGTGTTGGTATCTTAAACGCATTTTATGTATATCTCTCAGCACCTCAGCTGTCCCTGAAAGGTCCCCTCGCCTTCTTGTTATGAGGCAATGGTTTTCAACAATGGCTGTACCTTACAGTCACTTGGGGAGCTATGGTAACTGCTCATAACTTGGGCCACATGTCTGAGCAATTAATCAGAACCTCTGAGGGTGGAACTCCAGGGCCAGCATCTTTAAGTTTCCCAGGTGATTACTATGCACAGTCAAGGCTGACAAGGACTGCTCCAGGGATCTACTGAAATCCTGGTCCTCAAGGGAGAACATTGCTCCCCGTAACCCTGACAAGTGTGACTGCTGGTACTCCTTCCCAGAACAGAGCAAGTGTCCCTCCTTCCTTTTGAAGCCTTTCCTCTCCTTACTCCATAAGAGCCTGTAGTTGTGACTCGCAGGCCATTCAACCACACAGTTCATGTTTTACCCCTCACCACCTCACCATCACTGTTATTCCCTCTTTGAAGAGTTTAGTTCCAGAAGTCTCTTAAACCATGCTAGAATTTGTCTAGAAATAAAGTCACTGTTAGAGTACATTGGGCATTTCATATTCAACAAACATAAACATAGTATCTCTGTAGATAACCAAACCTGGAAACCATTAAGCTGTCATCTGCCCCACCTAGATTGATGCAGAGGGGCAGTGGGGATGTGTCTGCTCCGAAATCCTCTCCACTTCTCTCGTTGCTGTTTCTTCAACACAAAAGGACGCTTCCACTGCAGGACCCTTGTGCTTGCTGTTCTTTTCTTCCTCGCGGGTTTCTGATCACGATTCTCACCTGGGTGGCCCCCTCACGTCCTTCAGGTCTTCGCCTAAATGCTATTTTCTCAGTGTGTCTTTCCTGATGGCTTTATTTCATATTGTTCACACATATTTCCAGCCTTGCTGTGTCCCTCCCCTGCTGAATTTTTCCCCATAGCACTGATAGCTTGTTGACAAAATATATATTTATATTACTTATTTGCTTCTTGTCTGCCTCCCAGGAGGGTATATTTGTATGTTTTGTTCACTGCTGTATCCACAGTGCTTATATGCCTGGCACAAAATGAATACTCAATGCATAACTATGCATTGAGTTAATTAACCCTTTTAGGTTGGTACTATTTTTATTCTGATTATATAGATTTTTTTAATGTGCCCTTATAACTCCCTGTGGTATCAATTTCTAGGATGTCACTTATCTGCCAGCCAATGTTTATTTATGGCCTAGAGGGTGTTGCACAGTGCTGGGTTATGGCAGGTGACCATGAAGCAGGATAGTAAGACACTAGGAAAATTCCTGAGCAAGTGGAAAGATGACCATGGAAAGATGAAGGATTTCTATAAAGATATCATCTTGGATGAAATAAAGAATTCTGCTGAGCCCTGAGTGGTGTAGCTCAGTGGATTAAGTGTGGGCTGCAAGTCAAAAGGTCAATGGGGAAGCCAATGGGGAAACTGAGACAAGAAAATTCAACAAGGCCAAACAGTTTGAGCAATTTACAGGCAGCTGGTGAATTGCAAAAACTTATCTCCCCTAACCAAGGAAACAAGACTGAATGGTTTACACCTCTCCTACCTGACCAAAACACACATAACTAAAATCTCACTGGACTTGGAAATAGAACAGAGACCCAATTAATGCTATTTGTACCAACTATACCCAAGGACAGATGAACTCAGAGGAACAAATAACAAAAACCCCATTAAAAGCCAGACTCAAGATAAAAGTAAAGCAGTATACAGACCAAAGAATATTCCCCAAGCCCCCTTATGTGCTTATTTCCTAGGTGACATATCAGCACACTAAAAATGCCCCTGGAAAGCTAGCGAATATTCTGCTGAAACTACGCCCCCTCCAAGATTCTCACCCAAAGAAAAAAGATGACAAGCCCTCAGAGCAAAGATGCAGCCCGGGCTCATTCTAGAGCATGCCCCTGCCCCTTCTCAGGCATGAACATTTTATTTCCTCCTAAACTCTAAGGGCCTCAAGGAGACTTGCAACCAGCGGTGCAGTGGCAGTTCCACCTGACCTTACTCCCTGATCCTGTCTCCAGGGCCCCTTTTTCTCTGACTACAGGTGAGCTAACAGCAGCCGCTCCTTGGTTCACTTCTTTCCTATAACTTTTCTAGGGATCCAAAACAGCCCTGTCTCGGCTCTCTCCTGTTCCTTCTTCCACCCTATTTTTTTCTTTTATTTCACTGTCCCCGGCCTTAATAAATGTATTCTCAAAATCACCTGGACTTGTATTGTGAAACCTTTCCTACACAAAGTCAGGACCCCACATACTACAGGCCGGCCTGAGGCCGACCTGCTCCAACCAGCGCCTATTTGGTAACAACCAAGCCCTTTCTTTGTTGTTTCCCACTCCTCCCTCCTCCTTCCCTGGGAGCGCACCTTTAACTTAGACTTATTCTTATGGTTCCAATGAAGCAAGAGACAGCCAGGAAAAGCTTAGGTGACATGAGCATAAAACATATGAGAAGAGGGTTAATAAATGTAAACCCGAGATATCAGGAATCTGTCACTTGAGATATGCATTCTAGTGCTTGAGAATTCTGAACTGTTTTAATTTCATCAGATTAGTCAAATAGTGGAAAGACTTTACCTAGGTTTATGCAATAAGGCTGTCTTTACATAATAGGCAGATAAAAAATATCTTCAGAAAGTACATAAACCTATGCAATTATATGGTATAGAAGAAGGGGAAGCAGCAGCAGACAATGAACCATGACTAAGTGCTAGTCATGTCCATGCACTGCTAAATGCAGTGACAGTTTTATTGCTTTATAACATAAGCCTATGATTTAGTACTATTATTATTCCCACTATATGAATGCAAAACATAGCCAGGATTGAAATAAACAGGTCCAGCCATGGTCAGAAGGAACATGACCACAAAGATATCAACTATAAGTATAAATTTTATCCATTGTAGTCCTATACCACTTAAATCCACCATCTATGCAGATTGGGCACCACCTAGATAATATTTGAACTAACCACTGAAATGAGCATTATTTCATTTAATTCTCACATCTGGCTTTTGGGTGCTTTTCTTATCTTCATTTCAGAGAATAAGAAGCTAAGGTATAGAGAAGTTAAACAATGCACCCAATATTTGAAGTGAATATGTCTGACTCTAGATCTGCTCTATTCTTTCCTGCTTTGTTCAATACACCTATTAATCGCCATGCTTTTGTGAACATCAAAAATGATGTGTTCAAAAGCACCTTGTGAAACACTGACACTTAATGTCAGTTAATAATCCAAAATCAGCTGAGGCCAGATAAAATTTCTTTAGAACTTAACACAGCCAATCATAAAAGCATTTTTAAATGTTTACATTGTTTTGGTTGTAAGCATTACTATCTCATGTAATTTTCACACAAGCCCAAGAGGAAGGTCCTGTTTTAATTTCTAGATGTTAAACTACGCATGTTTTTCTGAGACGCTGTTAAGAGTGAGATGCAGTAGCATAAGCGACTCTGAAGTGATGAGGTAGTGCTGCTGTCCAACTTGGTTTATTTAGGTGAGCAAAAAACGCTGAAGGTGGAGGGATTTCTCAGGTCTCCACAGCGGGCACGGGCCCAGCCACATCGTTAGAGGGATTGAGACATGGTTTCAACAGCAATGAAGCCATTACTTCTGTTGAACAGGGATGTAAGAACTGTGCTACATTATTGGAGCCCTCGAGGGAGCTGCAAATAAAAGCCAGTCCAGGTTCACGACTGCTAGAGATGCACTAGGGCCTCCAGCTTCCCGAAGCTTTTCCTTGAATATCTGGGTAATTGCTGGAAGGCGGTCGCGGGCTTGGCTGGATCCAGATCTTTAGGGGTCATCCCTTTCCCATGGGTCACTGGGATCGACCCTTACTCTCGAAATGAAAGATGTCACTTTTTTCATTTGTTCGGCAAACGTTTATAGAGCGCCTACCATTACCCCGGTATACATTATGCGGCAACGACACCACCCAAGACCCAGTGCTCCGTCAGTCGGAGTGCACGGAGGGCTAGGGTATCCGAGACGTTCAACCCGTAGCCGAAGGCGAAGCCCAGAGCCGCAGCACCCTATAGCGCGCGCCCCAGAGCTGAACAGCTCTAAGCACGTGCACACGCACGGGAACGCCGGGATCCCGCGTCCCCTGAGTTGTGCAGGCGCCAGGCGCGGGCGGGAGCTCAGGAGTCGGAAGCTAAAGGAGGGGCGGGTGCCCGAGAACGGCGCTCGTGCACGCTGTCCTCAGCTCCCGAAACTCCGCCCCGCCCTCCCCTTCTCCCGCGCGCGGGCTCCGCGCGCCCCAAGCTGCGCGCGTGCGCGCGCGTGCGCAGGCCAGGGCCCTCATGGGGGCGGCTCCGTAGACTAACGAAAGCATCAGAAAGGCCCGGATTAACCCTTTCTCTGCTCGCCAATTTAGTGGCCCAGTCCGGTTCCGTGCCTGCGCAAGCCGGCGGCGCGCCTTCCTCCCAGCCCGCACCGCGCATGCACGGGAAGGGGGGGTTGCCGGTGGGGGTTTTCAAGGCCGGGTAGACATTCTGTGCTCGTGCAGGAGGAGGGCTGCTACCATCAGGGACGTGCACGATTCCCCCCCCACCCCGCCCCCTCCCCAAACTAAAAAAAAAAAAAAATCCAAAAAAACACTGCCACCCACCGTGCCCCCGTGCCCCGCGTCCATCCCGTCCCCGGCCTGCTGCAGCGAGCGCGGGGAGCCCACGGCGAGTGTCTGTGGCTGTGCCACGCTGCAGGTAAGCGCGGGCCGGGGGTGCGGAAGGGGCCCGGGCAATCAACGAGGCGGGCACGGGGGCAGCCTGCGGCTGGCGCGGCAGGGCGGCCCGGAAGAAGCGCGTTCTCGCCACGCTCTGGGGCACCAGCCAGCTCCAGGATGTGCAGGCGGCCGGCAGCGGCGCGGTGCGAGCGGGAACGGGCGTGGGCCGGGGCTGGGCCGGGCGTGGGGAACGGGAGTTCAGGGTGCTGCGCAGGCCGGTGAGCGGGCTGGAACAGAAGCCGGGCGGCGGCCGCCGTGGCTCTGGGCGCGTGCTCGCTGAGCCTTGGTGGCAGAGTTCATGGCCGTTCTCGCTCGCATCTCCGCAGTGCTCCGTGGTGAGGGTTGGGACGGCCGGGAGCCGGGCGCCGATTGTGGCCCTCCGGGCGCCGCCCCTCAGAGCCGGGGGCCCCACCGCACCGCCCCTAGCTGCCTGTGGAGGAGGGGGCCGGGACCCCCACGCTCGCACTCCCGGGTGCGCCCGCCGAGCTCGGGAAGCCGGCCGCGCGCCGCCCCCGCCCCCGGCCGCGGGAGGGCGGGGGAGGGCCCGGCGCGAGCCGGCCAGGGAGTGCGCGGGGCGCGAGCTCCGGGCTCGCGGGCGGTACGGGGCGCGGCGCGGCGCGGGGCTGCGGAGACGGGCCACACGCCCGCTCCCGCTCGTTGCTGCTGCCGGGACCGCTTTGGGCTGTTCCTTTTGCGCTAAGAGCGGAGGCCAGAAGCTTGCGCGGGAAGCCTGATTATGAAAGGGAAAGTCACTCTTTCACCTTCCGGCTCCGAGGCCGAGCTTTTGTTTGGGAAGAAATGCAAACGGCCCTATCCACTCCCCCACTTTCTGAGCAGAAAGAAATGAGAGGGTGGCTTGGAGAAACTCTGAAGGCGGGATGGCTCTTGCGCTTCGTTCTCTTTCTTTATTCCTACCCTGAAGTTGCGAGTTTTGTACAGGGAAGTCTTGCCGCCGCCATTGTCGCGGCTGTTCTGGGGGGGGATGTGGCTGGCTGTCTATGCAAGTTTGGCTGTGCTGGAGCCCCCACTCCGTGTTAAGGCGACTCGGTTCGCCAGCGATTTGGAGAGCCATAATGAAGGGTCACCTTTGTTATGGAGGTGTAGTTGAAGCTACAGTGTTCTCACCACCTACACACATACGGGCAATGGGTATCCTCCAGTTTGACGCACCTGAACTTAGCAATTGGAACATCTTAGGAGAAAAATTGGCCCTCAGAGACCTTGAGAGTGGAGGCCAAATAACACCCTGGCCAAAAAAGGGGGGGGGGGATCAACACACTAATGAATACGGCCATTCCTCTCTTCAGTCCATGCCCTTTTATCCCACAAGCCTTGAAATACAGTAGGAAGTAACCCGGTAGAAGTTTGGCCTGGTTGTTTTCTTTGGGGTGACCACAGACCGTGTCCCATTTAAGAAACAAACTCCAAAGCATCCGTGGAACTAATTTTGCCCAGTTCTCACACTTTGCAGATAAGAAAATTCCCCGCTGCTTTAAGCCAGCTGATTGCTGTGTTTGCTTTTCTGCAGAGGGAACTTTTTGGTAGTTTTCAGGATTTTGATCTCTTGATTCGAGTTTTCCACTGCAGTTTTTTCGTAAGGCTGTTGCAGCCCAGTCCCTTATCTGTGTGGTCACGGTTCAGTAGAAGAAACTTTTATATTTTTCAGGTTATTGGTCTGCAGAATGGAGTCCCTATGGTAAGAGTTAAAATTTAAAAAAAAACCTTTGAGCTTGTCTGTAAGGATACAGGTGAAAACACCTACAGTTCTCAAATGCAGGCTAAATGATATGTGCTACATCGTACAGAAGTGTAGGAAGACAAAAGCAGCTACTGTATCCTCCAGTATGAACTGTTGCATATGTGAAGTTTTATAACTCTCTCTGTATTTATAAAAATAGATATACCCTCAATATGAGCCCAGAAAAAAATTAGGGCTACATACCTAGAGGAAATGGTGGGGGCAGGGGGCACTTTCTGGCTATTTCTGATATCTGTGTAGCTATCAACATCTATACATGGGCTTTGTGAGGAGAAATTCTTTAGTGGCTCTCCAGAGCATCCTCTGATTCCTTGTACACAATCTTTCCACACCCTAAGTGCTGTAGCGCTTACCTGTTCTCCTTCAAGTCTGCTCAGAGCTGGACCTGATGCTGCCAGCCACCTTCTTCTCTGTCCCCATCCTGAAAATGGGTACATGTGCAAATGGCAGGACAAGAAAGGAGAGTTTATTTTTTTTTAAAAATCTTGTTTTGAATTTGGGATAGAAGATCCTGCCTTACTCTCATGTGTCCTTTTCTTTTGTAGGACGGGCGTGCCCCTGATCAGTTATTCTGATCTGAAGAATTTGGTGTTTCAAGCATTAAGACAATAGCCTGAGTTGTTCATGGTAACTATAACTTTGGATGTTAAATCTTGAAATTATGATTCAGTATTTGCTTTTAAAAATACACACACACATACACACACACACACACACACATATCAATTGTGTTAGCACTTACATTTCTCTGGGGGAAAATGTCTGTTTTCCTCATTTATATTGTATTGAATGAAAGGCAATATTTTTGAAAAGAAAACACAATACATTATTTTTAAAAAATCAATTTTCATGCCCTGGCTGGGTAGCTCAGTTGATTAGAGCATTGTCCTGATACGCTAAGTTGCAGGTTCAATGCCCAGTTAGGATACATATAAGAGTCAACCCACAAATGCATAAATAAGTGGAACAAAAAAATTGATGTTTCTCTCTCTTTCTCTCCTTTTCTTTCTAAGATAAGTAAATAAATAATACTTTTTAAAATATCATTTTCTTTAATGTTGTGACTGATGTCTTTTGTGCCAGTTCTAAATTTCTTTTGCTTGTAAAATACTTGCAGCTCATGTCAAGTACACCTAATCTTGAAGACATTTTTGTCTGGATGGCAGATAGGTTGGCATCCAGAGGGAATGAAACTGCTTATGGCCTGTCTTCCCAGATGTCATTTGATTCTTTGAGGGTCATATTAAACCTTAGCCCTCATTTACTGGCCCCCAAACCAGTGTGGAAAAGCCAGAAGTCAACACCAAATGGAATATTTTGGCAGTGATATCCCTTTCTATCTCTGCAACACTGATTTGTCAGTTCTGTCTAGGAAGCAGAACACTGAATGCTGTTAGTTGTTTTACTGGGTCTTTTCTGTATGAAAATAGAGTAGGCACAACAGACAGGACTAGTGGATCTTTGCCTCAGAACTATTTTTTTAAACCTTGAAACTGAATTGTCATTATTACTTTTACTTGTCAGGAATCACAGGTTTTGGAGCTAGATTGCCTGAAATTGAGCCCCAGTTCTCCACTAAATAACTAGAGTATTGGCAGGTTCCCAACCTCGTCTATGAAGTGGAGATAATGATACCTATTGGCATGGGTTTATTTGATCATTACATTTGTGGAGACATGCAAAGCACATAGAACAACACCTGGTATGTATTATGTGCTTAGTAAAAGTTAGCTATAATTATAACTAGGCAAATACTTTGTAAACTGAAGATAAATAGAAGTAACTGTGGAAATCCCTAAGATGGGATGTTTTTTCTACTCATGTACTTAAACCACTCATAATGACTTTTTGAAATTGTTCAGTACCAAAAATTGATCAGAGAATGAAAATCTATCTGTTTTCTGTATGAAAAAGTGTTATTCATAATTATCAAACTTTCTTTTTAAAAATTTTTTGTAGGAGTTTTTCATCAGTATGTCTGAAACCATTAAATATAATGACGATGATCATAAAACTCTATTTCTGAAAACACTAAATGAACAACGCCTGGAAGGAGAGTTTTGTGATATTGCTATTGTCGTTGAAGACGTGAAATTCAGAGCACACAGATGTGTTCTTGCCGCCTGTAGCACCTACTTTAAAAAGCTTTTTAAGAAGCTAGAGGTTGATAGCTCTTCCGTCATAGAAATAGATTTTCTACGTTCTGATATCTTTGAAGAAGTCCTGAACTACATGTACACAGCAAAGATTTCTGTGAAAAAAGAAGATGTTAACTTAATGATGTCATCAGGTCAGATTCTTGGTATCCGATTTTTGGATAAACTCTGTTCTCAGAAGCGTGATGTGTCTAGTCCTGATGAAAATAATGGCCAGTCCAAAACTAAGTATTGCCTCAAAATAAATCGCCCCATTGGAGATGCTGCTGATACTCAGGATGATGATGTGGAAGAAATTGGAGATCAAGATGACAGTCCATCTGATGACACTGTAGAAGGCACCCCACCGAGTCAGGAGGATGGCAAGTCACCTACAACTACACTCAGGGTTCAGGAAGCGATCTTGAAAGAGCTGGGGAGTGAGGAAGTTCGAAAAGTAAATTGCTACGGCCAGGAAGTAGAATCTATGGAGACCCCAGAATCGAAAGATTTGGGGTCCCAGACTCCTCAAGCCTTAACGTTTAATGATGGAATGAGTGAAGTGAAGGATGAGCAGACCCCAGGCTGGACAACTGCTGCCAGTGACATGAAGTTTGAGTATTTACTTTACGGCCATCATCGGGAGCAGATTGCCTGTCAGGCATGTGGTAAGACCTTTTCTGACGAAGGCAGGTTGAGGAAACATGAAAAACTCCACACAGCGGACAGGCCATTTGTTTGTGAGATGTGTACAAAAGGTTTTACCACTCAGGCCCACCTAAAAGAACACCTAAAAATCCACACAGGATATAAGCCCTACAGCTGTGAGGTGTGTGGAAAATCGTTTATTCGTGCCCCAGACCTAAAGAAGCACGAGAGGGTTCACAGTAATGAAAGACCGTTTGCGTGTCACATGTGTGACAAAGCCTTTAAACACAAGTCCCACCTCAAAGATCATGAACGAAGACACAGAGGGGAAAAACCTTTTGTGTGTGGCTCATGCACCAAAGCGTTCGCCAAGGCATCTGATCTGAAAAGGCACGAGAACAATATGCACAGTGAAAGGAAGCAGGTTACCCCCAGTGCCATTCAGAGTGAGACAGAACAGTTGCAGGCGGCAGCGATGGCCGCCGAAGCGGAGCAGCAGTTGGAAACAATAGCCTGTAGCTAGAGGTGGTGGGACATGAACGCTTTGCCTGACCCATGGAGACTGAGGTTGCACTGTTCATAATAACTGAACGTCGGTCACTGTATTTTTTTTTAAACTTACGGAGCATTGTACTCACTGGACTTAAGGCAGTGCCTGGTTAGGTGTTTTTAAAACTTTTCAAGGAAATAATGTTCATTGGTTCTGACCAAACAGTTTCACTGTCCTGTCTGGTGTCTAGTATTAATGTTGCCAGTAAGTCCTGCCCCTTCTCTTTTTTTATGGTTTTAGTTTGAGGATTCCTGTGTCCAGTTCAGAAGTGAGAGACTTCTATTCCATTTTTAATTCCTCTCTACACTGCTGCACTGGTGAACACACTGCACAGAGTGATAATTGAGTAAATTGATTTCCCAATCCCAATTATATGTTACTTAGGGTCAAAACAGCATTTTAAATAATTTAATAAAAGTACTTAATGTAGACACAAAATACTGGTTATTGACCAAGAACACTGCGCAAATATGAAAACAAGTCCTGGAAATGTGGAATGCTCTTCAATTTATAGTTGATTTGTTAATTTTCTATCACTGTTTTTTATAGTTTTTGTTGACAAATAGTGGTTGCTTTGCTGAAGTGTCTCTTCATCCATTTTGATTGATTGCCCATACTTACCCCCAGAATGTGGTAACAAGACCAGAAGGCTAAGCAGATCCACAGAGACATTGGTGATCTGGGGGCTGAGTTCCTTCATTCCTCTTATTTGGGGCATTGCCACTCTGAAATGGTGGGGTTTGTGGAGAGGAGCAGAGGTACAAGGTTTAGAAAAGGGTAAATAGGAACCTGGCTCTCAGAGACAAGGTTTTCACATTTGCAATAATTCCAAGACTTCCTAGATCAAAATAATTCTTAATTGATTTTGAAATTAGGACAAAAGCAGGTATGCCTCTTCAGATACATTCGTGTAACTTAACAATGTTATCAAGCTTTTGTGCTCTCTGTAGCATATGATTTATCCGTAAAGGAGATGCAATATCATTACTTAAATTAATACATTTGAAATCTTTTAAGTGTGTAAATAGTATAGAAGTGTTGGTCTTAGGTATTTCAAGGAAAAGTAGACAGCTGCACATTTTTTTGCACATTGGATTAAAATAACTTCCATCAGCAAGAAGCATCAGTCTGTTGTTAACCAATATTAAAGATTGTCAGACCAAATGTTTATGTTTTTGAAGTATATTTCATCACTGGTTACAGTTTTAAGTAGAGTTGATTGCCTTTTCATAGCTGTAACAGAATTATAAATGATGTTCCAATTATGGTGTATGAAAAAATTTTTAAACCATTTCTTTTGGAATATATTAAAATATCAACAATAGTTTGAATTATGTTCTATAATAAAGCACTAGTCAATTATTTTGGAATGTCCAATTTTAGAAAAATGTTGACTTTTAAAATTTATTTTGGTTGATAGTTTTTTTTAAAGATACATTAAAATAATTTCATTTCACAGTTTGTTGCATTAACACCTGTAATTACTATTTGGGAGAATTTTTACTTTTTAAGTCAGTATATGGGTTATGCCAAGCTTGTTGGATGAAGATCCTACTTTTTAAGAAAGTTATTCATTGGTAAAATGTTCAGTTTAAAATTAATTCCTTTTCTCAAAAGTTGTTTTTCCATTCTAAAAGTAGTCCGGTCACTGTTTGTATGCTATTCGTAGAAGGGGAAGTGCTTGATATTCCTAGGCTGTTTTAACCAAAGCAGAAGAAAAATAATTGAACATCTTGTTGATAGCTACTTTAATGAACCATTTTGCGGTCTTCATTTTAGTATGTATGAGAAAATATAATTCTGTCATTCCTGTTTTCATTTCTTTATAACAACCTTTCACACATCCAGGTTTCTACCAAAGTGCGTTTTCTATACCATCTTTATGGTTTTTCAGAGTTTCATGTTAATGTGGTATTAACCCTTATTGAAACCACATGATCACAGTGGTATCCTCAGAAAGAAAGCTTAAATTTTAGTTCTTTTTTTGTGTGTTATGTAAATATTATTTGTCCTATTTTTGCATGAGAGATACATTTGTGTTATAATTTCTACCACTGGCACTGGGTTCATATGTGTGTTAGGGTGTTTGTCTTTTTTTTTTTAATTGTTCTTTAAGTAGTTTTCTGCCTTTTACCCCCATCCCAGCCCCCCCCCCAGCCCTCCCCACCTCCCTCCTGTTTCCTCCCCACCCTCGTTATCTTCTTCGTTGCAGCAAAGCTCTGATATGGCAGCTTTGCTGTCTCCGCATCGTTGAGGCTGCGTCTCTTGCCCAGCTGGCTTTAGTAGTCCCCTGATGGTGAAACCATCATTTTAGGTAGTTCAAGGGTAACTCCAGTCACGGGGTTAATTCTGAAATGTCCTTAAACTGAATCTACAACTTGATGTTACCTTTTATGCCACCTTGCATTGTACTGGCAACGATGGAGGAAGAGAATTTTAGGATGTCTAAACTTTAGGTCATTTGCCTGCTAATTAACTTGATCACAAATTTAAAGTTGTTAGTAATTACAGAGATTGCTATTGAGTGAATGTGGTACTAATAAATTCCTCTTTTGTTGATAGGAAAGATTGAGGTGGAGGAGAATGATGTAAATTCGTAGTTTCTATTTAATGGGTTATGTTGTATAAGGTTGTCTACCTCAGTCACTGGGAACCTGGATACATTTTCCTGAGTAATGCTGTTGGTGATTAGTTCCTAGTTCAGCTATAAAAGCCTATGTATGCGTAGCAGAATTAATGTAAGGGCTTTAATCTTGAGTTCTGAGTTGTGGGATTTAAGGTGCTGAGGCTTCCAGGAAAGACAGTAGAGAACCCTCCCTTCCCTCTGCCATTTCCCTTTAGTTTCTTCATTACCCAAGCCCCCACTACGCTCCCACACCTCACAAATGTGTGAGAGACAAGGAAGACGTCAGAGGGAGGCTAGGTAACCACTGACAACCATCACAGTGAGAGCTGAGGGCCTACATTTATTCTAAAGCCTCCTTCTAATAACTGAAATCAATGAGCACTTTCAGTCAGGGGGAACTCCCTGCCTCCCCGATGCTCATACCCTCCTACCTTGAGACAGATCTAACTCCCTCTTGGTCTTTTAATTTTGTGTCCATCTTTGTATTCCCCCTTTTAACTGGTACTTCATGCCCCATGGCACTATTCAAAAGAAACAAACATGCATCTGCTTGACAATAGTTCAGAAGTAGAGATACCTTGTTTCATTTATTCAGCATGTATTGAGGCCCTGGGCGGGATCCCAGAGATAAAAAGGCAGAAGAGATTTGGCTCCACCTTGCAGAGTGTACTCAGTCTTGTATTAAGCATTATTTTTAGAAATGAAGGTGGCATTTTTCCCATCACTTATGATCCATGATTCCTTAAAGGTCACCATACTGATCTTTTTTAAGTGCTCTAGATGTAATTTGGATGGATTGTAACATTTTGGCAGTTGTGTGATTTCATCGTCTCTTCAAGAGGTAATCCCAATCACCAGTATTCATGTAAATATTTTCAGTGTAACTAGGGGGAAGTGTGATTTAGTAGAAAGACTTACATAGTCCAACTTGAACTGGATCCCGGTTCTGGTTATCAGTTAATGTATAAATTTAGGCATCTTCTTTACTGCCCTGACCCTTAATTTTATCATTTCTAAAATAGTAATTAGTAATTCTGGCTCATGGTCTGCTCTGAAGATTAAATGTGATAACCACTACAAAATATTTAGCCCAGCATCCACTGCCTTTTAGGCACACCCGAAATGTTTCCTCCTGAAAGAGCATTCTCAATGGAGAAGCAGAGCCAGACCAAAGTTCCCTTGATTTTGACAAGTCAGTGTTAAGGTCATCAGCCGGGCTGTAGACTGGATCGCCTTTGGTCTTAACTGAAAATGTCTGTGGAAGTTGTGTTTATCCTAGCATTTATGTAATCTTAAGCCCATTGGAGGCTTTCTTCTCACAAATCTATTCATTTTAGGACCCTCTTTGGCTTTGTAATCTCCCACCGTGTAAGTAGGTTGTTGGCATACAGTCAAGTGTGAACTGGCCTCTGCATGGCTCCCTGCTCCTCTGTCTCTAGAGGCAGAGCCAGCTCTGCAATTTGGAGAGCTGCCTCTTGCATCCCCTGTGAAATCATGTGTTTGGGGGGTATTTTTTATATTTTGTTTTTCTATGAGTGTGTTTCAGACTACACCCAACCTTTCTCTTTCTGGCTGATGAATTCTAGGATGATCTGTTACTTTCTTCCCTACACCCAAAGGTCTTACACTACACCCAAGAATTCTGATTTTTTTTTTAGTTCAGAATATGAGTTCACTGAATCAGTCTTACTTGCTCCTCTTTGGAGGACATTTCCATGAATCCTACATAAAAGTATTTTCTATAAGGAATCAGTCAATAAATGGTCACTGAATGCCTTGTGTGTGCCAGGCATTGGGCCTGATGCTGGGGATGGAACAGTGACTAAGGCAGACAGGCTTCCTACCCTCGTGGAGCTCACCGTCCAAAACGGAGTTAACAGGTCACCTTTCCACGTTTTACAAAATTTCACAAGACTTACGATAATGCTCATAAATGTACATAATTTAAAAAAATCTGCCGTGGTATGCATTTTATCCGGTTTTTGGAACATACTTCAGAAAGTAATTTGAGATTTTAATACATAGTCAAGAAACATTCTCAAGTGACTTTTTTGAATGTGTACCAAGAAAATGTATTTGTTACATATTACCATTTCCATAGCATGATTCTCACTTTTTTCATTGATAATGAATTTGGAAAGGAGAATATGAGACTATGGTTTATTTCTTTAAAATAATAGATCCTGGCATGAAGAAAATTAGACCAAATAAACAAACAAACAAAAAACCAATAACCTGGCTTTCCAGAAGCTTGAGCAAGGGACCTTAATGAGTAATACAGGGTATGCTCAGCAGCAGCTCTGAAAGGAGAATTGAGAGTGAGCAGGTATTCCCTGAAAGCCCCAAAACATAGCATTTGTTGCATATTTACCAGGTATCAGACTATATACATGATCTCTATGCTTTGTGACAACTCTAAGTCACCTTATTACTGGTGAAGATACCAAGAATCAGAGAAGTTAAAAATCTTGCCAATAAGAGCCAGGATAGAAGAACAGGCCCAGTTGCCTCTGTAGCCTGTGCTCATAGTCTCCATGTCATAATGCCCTTAAACAGGCAAAGGAGCAGCTGTGGCCTTGCACACAGTCTTACCAACTTCAGTCCACTGTTAGGAGGAGGGAGAGCAGCTGGAGGAGAGGTAGAGGCATTTATGCAAACAGTGCCCCTAAGTTTATATCATAAAGCAGAACCAATATTTTGAATTTTCTAAGAAGTTTCTCATACAAGGAGCCAAATACTAAACCAATATTGTTTTATCCTCCTCTGGGTCTAGAGGCTGCTCCAAATGTGGAAAACTGTAGATAGGGTGTCATGGATGATTGCACAAGAACAGAGCTACTTGTTGGCTTTCTTCATTTGTTCCATTATTCGGTGAGCCAGGGAAACCCCACCAGACCAAAGGCCATCTATTTGGGTGTCAGAATTAATGTTTAATGTTTGTAAAAGTGGTTATCTGTGTTAGGAGATCCCCACCTCTCTGAAAGGTGCTAGAAAACTTGAATTACGGTTCCACCTCTACTGCTTTCAGGCTTTCACCACCTTGGGATAGTTGCATAACTTTTCTTACTTTTTTCAGCTAAAAGGCATATGGCAATTCCCTGCCCAGTTTACCCCGCTCTTACTTATTATTTCAAAAGATAAATCCATTTCTTCCATAGGTAATAGATTGGAAATTTAGCTTTAACATATTTTATGATCAAGTGTAACCGATTTAAAAGATTACTGACCTCAAACAGGATGACAGATGGAGATGGTTGCTGAGGAACTTAAAATTATACTTCATTCTTACACTGTTTACATTTAATTAAAACGAAGGGTGTGTGTAGATGCTGTTCCCCCTAAATCTTGGAATGACTGAGATATTCTATTCTTCAATCTTCCAGCAGTCTTTCAGCAAATATGAAACAGGAAGTAGTGAGATTGGAAGGCTATTGAATCAATTGGCCTGGCTTAGTATAAAAATAGATTACACAGAGTGGGGCAAAAGTAGGTTTACAGTTTTTATGGACAATAATGCAATAATAAATAATAGTTCAAGAAAAAATTCTGTCTAATATACTCACAACTAAATCTACTTTTATCTTGCTCTGTGTTTAATAATCTATAATAAATGTGGCATCGAGAAAAGAGAAATGAATTAATTTTAAGTGCTATATAATTATTTTCCCAAACTGAATTATGAGATCACAACAGTTTTCTTATTTTTCTACTTTTATTGAGAAATAATTGACACAC